CTGAATTAAATTCTCCCTGTAAGATTAACGTAGACCCATATCACTGTAAGATATCAATGGACCTTTACAGATGAGGGAAATTCAGTCTATGGGAAGGAAAATGGTTTGCCCAGGATTGTGTGAGCATATTCCACTATCTCATATCCTAAAAAATCAAAACAAAACAAAACAAAACCACATCTGTCTTACTCCATTCAGGCTGCTATACAAAGCCATAGACTGTGTGGCTTATGAACAACAGAAATTTACTTTCAGCAGTTCTGGAGGTTGGGAAATCCAAGGTCAGGATGCCCACAGATGTGGTGTCTAGTGACAGCCTACATCCTCATAGCTGGCACTTTCTTACTGTGTCCTCCCATGATACAAGGAGGTAGAGAGCTGTCCATGGTTTCTTTTATGAGGGTACTAACCTCATTCATGCGAACTCCACCCTCATCACCTAATCACCTCCCCAAGGTCCTACCTCCTAATACCATCACATCACATTGGACATTAGGCTCCAACTTATGAACTGGGGCGGAGGGGGCACAAACATTATAATCTTATAGCACCTCCCCTGATTCACTGCCACTCTCAGTGGCTCTGCTCCCTTTCATGGCCAAAATTTTTAAAAAGTTATTTGTCGTCACCTTCACTTCTTCACCCCAATCCATTCCTGGTATGCCTCCATTCTTACCTTTTCACTCTTATTTTCACATTGCCAAATGCAAACAGTCACTTCTCTGTTCTTGTTATGCTGTGTGTCTGAGCAGTATTTAACATAGTTGACCATTTTCTCCTGCTTGAGATGCTTTCTTATTTTGCCATATCATCTCTTACTAGATCTTCTTTTGGAACCCTTTTACTAATTCTTCCTTCTCTGCCTGGTGGATAAATGTGGAGTGTTTCTAGAAGTCTTTTTTCTACACATCTCTCTAGGTGACCCCTCCTGTCCCGCAGCTATGTATGTGACCTACATATCTATGACTCTCAACCTTGACCTCTTCCCTGAACTTCAGACTTGACTACCCAGCTGCCATCTTGACACCCCTACTTACATATCCAAGAGATCTCTCAAATTTTACACTACAAAGTGGAGTCCTTGATTTCTGCCCTCCAATCCAGGTCACCTCTCCCAGTATCCTACTTCTGAGTAAACAGCACTACCAAGAACCTCAAACCAAAAATCTGGGAGTTATTTTTCTTTACTTCCTCACCACCATATTACGTTGACCAGTATTCCTGGTTGCCTCCATAATATCCCAAGTCTATTCATTTTTATCCACATTCTCTTTTATCACCCAAGTGAAAGGTACCATCATATCCTGCCTGGGTGTCAGAGTGGTCTTCTAACTCTAATCTCATTGGCCTCCTTCTATTTCTCGAATATAACAGGCAGTTCATTTCCAGTGTGGGACCTCTGCATTAACTCTCTACCTGGAATACTCTTCCCCTGATCCTTGCAAGGCTAGATCTTTCTTGTCATTCCATGCAAATATCTTCTACTCAGAAAAACAAAGCCCCTAATCTCAAGTAGCCCCTCATTCATCCTCTCTCTAGAGTGCTTGTCACCATCTGACTGTGTTTGTTGGTTTGGTTGTATGTTGGTTTATTGTCTGAAATATGAACTTTATGAGCGCAGCTATGTATTTTTCCACTGGGACATTCTCAGCACTGAGACAAGGCCTGGCACCAAATAGTCCTCAATAAATATTTGATAGTGAATTAAACAATTTAGGTTATCTTTTAAAATAATTCTTGCATTTAGTTACATACAGCTGTATCCAGGAGACTGGGAATCAATACTTGAGACCCAGACTAGCTTTCAAAATTATATTTAACCTCCAAATAAAAATTTCTAAGTTACCAATGATAAAACAAAATATCAAGATGGACATGTAAACAAATATTTACAATTATAATCAGCTATGGCTGTATATATCCATAAATAACCAATAATAATCAAGAAAATGTTATAGATTTGGCCTTTCAAATTTTGAATCAGAGTTATACAAAATATGAATAAAGAACAATTTCTTTAACATTATTGAAATGCACTTTATAATTAAAAATTGGTATAGTAATGATTTAAAGCCCAGAGTAAATAGAACCAATGCACTTGAACTTATTTGACAAAATATACACACCTAAACATGAAAGTGTTCTAAAAGTGAAAAAACCCAGAGAAGGTTCAAACTCTTTTTTTAATTATTTTTAATGTTTATTTATTTATGAGAGAGAGAGACAAAGCATGAGCTGGGGACAGGCAGAGAGAGAGAGAGGGAGATACAGAATCCGAAGCAGCCTCCAGGCTCCAAGCTGTGAGCACAGAGCCTGATGCGGGGCTCGAACCCATGAACCAAGAGGTCATTTTTCATGACCTGAGCCGAAGTCGGACACTTAACCAACTGAGCCACCTAGGCGCCCCAGAGAAGGTTCAAACTCTTATGCAGTGTTTTCACTTTTAGATTATGAATGGCATGGATGGGATGATAACAATTATAATAACTGTAAACTAACTATATGTTCCTATAATTCTTAAGATACCATTCTGGAAGGTTTACATGAATTACCAATTTAATCTTCACACAGCCCTGTGAAGTACGTATTATCATTTCCATTATTACACATGAAAATGGAAGTTTCAAGGGGGCAGAGAGCTTGCCAAGGTAACAAAGGTAGTAGGTGGCAGACTGCTATTCTGCCAGAAGAAACAAATAGAACAGAAAGATGGGTCTGTTGGGGAGTAGATAATTATGATGGTTAACGTTTTTATAATAGTTTACAATTCATTTGTCCTAGCTGTATAAATGATGCAACCTGTATAAAGCCAACATATGATTGTACTTATATGGAACCGAGTTGAGAAGACAGTGCCTTCTGTAGCAACAGAGCTTACATTTTGTCTAAAGAAACATCTTGAGCTGAAAAAGTGGACGTTCTGAAGAAACATGAGATACAATGCCAGAGTGATCCAATTGCCTGTCCTCTCACCAATCCACAGATGTCCCACTGCTAGGAGGGCCTGTCCGCTTGGGGGAAGTTTTACAAATCCACTTGGGTAAATGCAACTCAAGATTTTAACTGACTTATTTGTAATAATATTCATATTTACCATCTAAGTTTTTTATAGCAGACTACCAAGGAATAGACTTAGGTTGCAGGGTGCTCCCAGCCCGACCTGAAAACCTAGGTCTGTAAACCAACGGAACTCTCTTTACAATGGTAGGAGAAAGAACTCCGGGTTGTGAATTACATTGATTCATTCAGCAAATACTCGTTGAATGTAAATGAGCAAAAGACAAACACCCTGTCCTCAGGAAGCTTATGTGGATGGAATGAAAGGGTTTATATATTTAAAAGAAAAAAAAAAAAAACTCAGAATGGGGGCAGGGACAAGGAATAGGTAAACAGGTTTTTTTTCTAGACTCATCACTGAAGGTAACCACCAGAGGGCTACCTAGCCATAGGTAGAAAGAAGTAATGTGACAAAAACTTGCTCCTACCTCTTCTTCTTCCCACCTGTGAATTTAGCACACTGAGATTTAGCATTATGAAGTATCCAAGTGGAGGCAGTCTTTATCATTTTTGTCTGAGCCATTATAAGGAAACAGTGGGCTTATCCTTTAAGACTGGAACTGAGACTACCTCTGGAGCCATAAATCAGAGTCAGATAGATAGATGTGACTGCCAGCTTTCTCTCTCTCTCTCTCTCTCTCTTCAGAGTTTTGCCAAGGAAAGCTGTCTGTTGTTCTTAAGATTATACTCAATGTTCTAAAACAAAAATTTCTCGTTAAAAGAAAACCTGCAGTTGTTTCAAATGAGGTTTCTATCTTCAATGCCTACAGGCTGAACCAGATGTGATTTGTTTCTGTTTTTCCGTTAGTGGTGGTGAGTTTTTTTTATTGTTTGTTTGTTTTTGTTTTTCTAGTATGGATGGCTAGGACATGGGGCAGAGGGGGAGAGAGGGGGAGAAGATAGCTTCCAGATAAAGATGTGCATGACAGCACCCTATGATCCGACCCAAACTCATTGTTAAATATTCATCTAACATATCAGTGTCCTTTTCCATTTTATTCCAGTCATTCCCTTAGATAGAGCACATCCTTCAGTCAAATCATACTCCTTAATTTTCCCCAGACTTGCTGTGAGATGTCTCTGCTTCCCTGTCTTGTGTAAATGACAAAACTGTTCTTTAAGTTTAGCTTAAATGTTCCTTCCTGACTTCCTCCTCTTCTTGGGCTGATGAGTTGTGCCCTTTTTTTGTGACTTTTAAAGCCTTTATATACTACTACCTAATGGATAGTAAAGCCACAATAACAGAAGGTTTGAGCTGACAGGATCCTAGTGACTCATGATCGCCCAACTGGCTTCTTCCGCGGTTCTGAAAAACACTGAAACATATAGATGTCTAGGTCCCAGCTACAGATTCGGGAGGCCAAAGTAGAACCCAGGAATCTATATCTTACTAAAGTCCTTTCAGGTGATTGTCATACACAGATAAGGAAACCGCCGTGCTGGTGTAAATCTCTCATTTCATAAATGAAGAAGCATAAGTTGAGTGATTTGTCCAAGGTGGCAGAGAGTCCATTACTAAGTCAGGAGTTAGACTCTGATCCTTTTCACTAAACCACATATGTTGCTTCAGGCACCATCTGGTGATGGACTGGTCTGTCACACAGTATCAGTCTACAGACTCAGCTGTGGTACATAGGGACAATGAGGGGTAGAAAAGAGACATCTAGATTAGAAGTCAGCTATTTACCAACCAGGTGCCCTGCTTACTTTCCTCATTTAGAAAATTGAAATAAGGAGGCCCACTCTGTTTTAGCCCACAGTAGGAGATGTATATGAAGTGCATTGTAAACTGTAAGTGATGTCACAAGTACAAACAAGTAATGCCAATGACCAATAGTAAATACAATGAATGCACCAATAACAAAAGTGAAGGTTAGAAGTGATTCCTTAGCTCAGAGGTAAAAGAGACTACTAACCAGCTCATGGCTCAGGTGAAGCCTCACTGGTATCTGTCTCCTGGCGGGACCAATGCAAGGTTTGAAGTCTGGTCTGTAGCATTGCTATTTCAGTTTGTTCTGTTGACCAAGCTCTGGGATCCTGAGTAACATCTTTCTGTTGAAATGTCTGTGGTAATTTTGGGCTAGATTAAAGCAGGTACATTATTGACCTTTGATTCTCCTTTTCCCAAACTAGTCATTCAAATATGGTATCTTTTCGGGGTAAGAAAAAAAATTATAGTTGTCAATGTAAGAGGGTCACTGAGTCTCAAAATATAGGAAGACTATATGTGTGTGTGTGTGTGTATGTGTGTGTGTGTGTGTGTGTGTGTGTGGAGAGAGAGAGAGAGAGAGAGAGAGAGTTAATTATTTATTTTTGAGAGAGAGAGAGAGAGTGAGCGAGCACGAGCAGGGGAGCAGCACAGAGAGAGGGACAGAGGGTCTGAAGTGGGCTCTATGTGGACAGCAGAGAGCCCGATGCAGAGCTTAAATTCACGAACCATGAGACCATGTCTGAGCATAAGTCGGATGTTTAAACAACTGAGTCACCCACGCACCCCAACCTACATCTTTTTCTGAGTTAGTTTACCTTGGGCTTGTTATAGACCTGGATTATTTTGTTCTTCCTACTTTTTAAATTGTGATGGGATGTGAAAGTTACCCAAGTAACCTAACGAGATTTCAATAGGCCCTAATCTCAGTAACGTTTTACACGCTGTCTTCTAGAGTGGGTAACCTGTGCACTTTTTACTCTCCTCCCTTGTAAGTAGGAGTTCATTGTTTCCAATTCTAGAAAGTTTCCAAACACATTCTCTCATTGAAGGAGAAACCATTTGGCTGCCTATCTAGAGCTCCCATCACCCTCTCTTTTTTGAGCAAGATAACAAGGAGCAAAACAAGAGTAAACAGCCTTGTTCTTGCCTTCAAGGAAAGCAGCCTCTCTGTTTACAAATGAAATCCTCTCGTTGACGCCAATCTTTTACACTGTGGTATTGTCAAATAGGAAAATAATAGAGCAAAATGTCACTAGGAACCACAAAACCTCATTGATTCGGATTACATGAGAAGCTTGAATCCTGTCTCCAAAATAACCTCCCCACTTTTGTTCTTTTCTTTTTCCTAGCGTCCAACACATTATTCTCCCTGTACTGGCTTAGGTCTTCACAGGCCAGTGTTGCCACTGGAAGACAATTACATAAGAATCCTGTTTCTTTATTCCATTAGCTTTTTTTATGCAAAAGGGAAAAATAAATCAGTGAACTGAGCCAAGAGTTAGGAGACCTAGATTCTCCTTTCTCTGTTGCCTCATTTTCTGCATTTGTAAAGAGATTAGGCCGGAATATTCTTAAACCTTCTCCATGCTCAACCATTTGATGATGTTAGGTATTGCTTGAAGTGGTTCTTTGGGGGTTCAATGAGAGATTCTCATTTCAGTCTTTTGTATCTAGTCAGCAAATATTTCTTGAGTACCTACTATGTGCCTGCCAGTGTTCTAGGCACTGTGGATACAACAATGGACAAAATGGACAAAAATCCCTGTCCTCATTTAGTTTACATTTGGTTTACAAATATTGTCTACTCAAACACTTAAAATGCGTTCTTCCAATTTGGACCGAGACAAGACTTTTGCAGGGTTAGGAGAAATAGGGAAGAATGAAACAAATGTGATTGATGGCACGTTCCAATTTTGTATTTTCTTTTCCATCTTTCTTTACTTCCTTCTCTTAACCTAATCCTAGGACAACAAAATTTTACTTTTTGCTACCAGCAACTCGTTATGTCCTATGTAATTAAACTGTGCTGTGTGCAAAAGATTCAAGGCAAATCCAGACAGACGTAGCACCTGCCCTCAAGAGCTGGCAATTTAATTGTGGAAACAAAGCTCACATATAAAAGAAGAAATTGCTGATTCAAAATACTATCAACTGAGAGCCAGACAAGCAGCCCAGATAGTTATGTGCCCTCAGTTCCTAGAGACGTAAGAGTAGATTGACTTCAGGAACACTTTTTAGTGCGCGTAGAGCTTGAATTTGAGTAATACGGGTAGTTTCTAGATTTAAAAAGAGAGTTATCACTAAATGTAATAAAAGATATGATCCACAATATAAGAGAAGGATATACCAAAACAAGTTTCTTTTTTCTGCCAATAAGTACACAGTGCACAGCTTTATTGACAAGATTTATTGACTATTGTGATGTCCTCAATAAGAGCTTTGAAGTACGGAATGTGGGAAGAAGTTAATGGGAGAGATTGACCTGAGGGAGTTTACACTTTAAGCGTGATGATTGGGCTTCTAATGTATTATTAAATAATATCCAGCCGATCAAAAAGATGAGCATTTGAAAAGTTACACGCAATACCTGTATGGCTTGGAACTGGCCCAATCTGAGCTCAAAAGAGAAGCTCCTTGCATTACCAAGGTGGTGGTTGGATATACTCTGAGCCAGAGCAAAGCCTACATGCATGACTATGTCTGAATACCAGGAGTCCTTTTGGGAAACACCTCCTGTATTCAGTGATATTTACCCACTTGGCCTTTTCTGAAGAAGGCCTCTACAAGTTCTTAACCCTGAAAAAGTTCATGCCCCAACCCATGCCTTACTCCTGCAACAATTAAGTCGGTTTCCTTTTACCAATGCTTTCGGTGGTCACATGATGAAATAAAGACATTTTTACAAAGGAAACAGAAAAGGGGTGGATGTCTTGGTTGACTTTGAAAAGTTCCCTGGAAGCTTTCTGAGTCTCAACACGTCTCCTCTCAGGTCTGTGTGAACTGAAATAAAAGTGGAGAGGGGGAGACTGAGGTCACCACTCATGCTGAAGCAGCAGCTGTTAGCCTTGGTGACAGCCCTTATTATTTGCATCCACATTGAGCAGGGATTAGAAAGCCACCTGTCTCCCCAAGCTTGTTGTGATTCAGTCCCTTGAGGGAGAAAAAAGACCTCCAGATGAGGATTTTATTTTTTCCTATTGCTTATTTATTTATTTGAGAGAGAGAGAGAATCCCAAGCAAGTTCCACACTCTCAGTGCGGCTATGGGGATCGATCTCACTAACTGTGAAATCATTACCTGCGCTGAGATCAAGAATCAGATGCTTAACCAACTGAGCCACCCAGATGCCCCCAAGAGATGAAGATTTTAATGCCCAGCAGACCTGGGAGAAGAAAGGCATGACTAGCCAGTGAGCAATATGAAATGAAGTCCTTAATCAGAATTCTCGTTAGCCTCAGCCAGCAAGCACTACCTATACCAATGTTCCTTCAGATGTATTTGCCATGGTATCTTCAACCGTGTAAATTTGGCAACTCTTATCCCTTAGAGTAAGTTGCAGAACTTTCAAGGGGTGTGAACATTACCTATATAAGTGAATAGAGTATATTTGAAAAGGCACTGTGTTGTCATAAGTAATTAGGTTATTAGACAAAAATCTGATCTAATCGCTTTCTTAGTATTGATTCAAATCCAAGAGAGAATGTGTCACTGATTATTACTAAGAGGTATTTATTTGTTAAATTAATTAGTTGTTTCAATTGAACTACAGCTGACACACGGTCTTATATTAGTTTCCGATAGACAACATAGTGATTCAGCTTCTCTATACATTATGCTGTGCTCCCCACAAGCATAGCTACCATCCGTTACTGTATAACGCTACGACAATATCACTGACTATAGTCTCTATTCTGTGTCTTTCATCCCTAACTTATTTGCAAAACTTTGAATGTAGAGATTTTGAATCTGTCACATTCCTGTAGCCTATAATTATGTCTGAGCCTCCACAGGTGTCTAATAAGTGCTTGCTGAATTAATGAATGTGTCCACATCTTCCAAGCGGCTACAAAGACATCAAGGAGGGATATGGTCATAGAGTTGGAGTCGTCTCCTTAGGCTCTGCTCCCTGACCTGGAGACAACCTGACTGGAAGAGGGTACATGTCTTACTTTTGAGGCTTTTCAGCTTCTCCGTTTGGCTGCTGATGGCAAGAATGTCTTTCTCCCACCAGAATGCTTCATTTCTCAGAGTACTATTTCAGTGTTACTGGGTTTTTTTCTCACAATTCTATTTTCTGCCTTTTCTCATAAGGACCTTTAGGTGATAAATTAGTAATAATAAAAATAAAAGTAAAAAAATAAAGACAAAGTTTTCTTTTTGGGAAATAGAAGTGAGTTTTGTGTTAGGGAAAAAGGAACATTGCAGATGGAATTTCCTCTAATTTTAAATGTACCCGTCTGGCTTCTGGGAAATAACAAATGTTTATGGGCCTTCCCTCATATTAGGGCAACCTAATCCTGCACACTTTTAAAATTTATGTGAGGAAATAGCCACATGTTGACCTTCCTGAACTCAACCATGTTCATTTAGTGATCAAAAATATGGGGCGCCTGGGTGGCGCAGTCAGTTAAGCGTCCAGCTTCAGCCAGGTCACGATCTCGCGGTCCGTGAGTTCGAGCCCCGCGTCAGGCTCTGGGCTGATGGCTCAGAGCCTGGAGCCTGTTTCCGATTCTATGTTTCCCTCTCTCTGCCCCTCCCCTGTTCATGCTCTGTCTCTCTCTGTCCCAAAAATAAATAAACGTTGAAAAAAAAATTTTTTTTAATTAAAAAAAAATATAAAAGGCATTTTATTTATCATGGTTGAAATCAATAATCTCATTCTATTACGAAATTGTCCTAAAATGTCTGCCCAGCGCATCCTTAGTCTTTCCTGCCCTTCCCACTGTGTATCGAAGAGCCACACGTCCCAAGCGAAATGCAGGGAACCAGACCAAATGCCATTTCCACAAACTCTAAGGGACAATTGTGATTCTTTTTAATGCTTGGCATGCTTTGCTTGTAATATTTCCCTGCAAAGAAGACTGTCAGTTGAGATGATAAAAAAATTTTACTCTACAAAGATTAAAGTAAATATTGATATTTGTCAAACTGAGTTCAACCTGTGGGAGACCTAGTCACTGGTCTTTGAGAATTTATACATACTGAAAAGATACTCAAAGATTTGACTGAAGTGTCATAGGCTCCCTTCTGCATACCTTTCTGAGTATCTGCTAACTGTCTCCTCTTTATGTCCCTTGCCAACTGAAAGATCAATCCCCAAGCCTTGGTGATTCTATCGCCTATTATCTCTTGAATCTGCATTTCTTTATGTCTCTATTGCATTACCCTCATTCAGACCATCGCCATTTATCATCTGACTTTCTGAAACCTCTACCTAATTGGTGTCTGTCTTTCTGGGCTTACGCCCTTTCAATTCTTTCTCTGCATTCAGAATGATATTGTTGCATGGGCACTTCTTACAAAGTCCTCCTGATACAGACATGGCTTTTCTTCCATTCCTGTTCTTCACTGCTTTTCCCCCTGTCCTCCACCTCCTTCCCCACTCCAGGCTGCATCCTTGATGATGCTGTGCTCCCTCAAGGTCTCTCGTGTCCCTGACTCCAGAAATACTTTTCTGCCATCACTTCCTTCAAATAATTCCTCTCCATCCCTGGAATTTCATTGTAGGTGACAGTCCTCTTCTTACAGAACCTTCCCTGACCTTGTAGCTTTAAATGATACACTCTCCTACCTGTTGCCATGATGCTCTCTTCCTCTATCACGGTACTGACCATACATTGGGGT